CCCTCTCTCTCTCCCTCCCTCTCTCTCTCCCTCCCTCTCTCACTCACACACACACAAACACAAACACACAGAAGCAGGGGTGGAATTCAAATCTATTAACAACCGGTTCTTGGGCACGACCTAATTTGTGGGTGTGGTTTGGTGGTCATGTGACTGGCTGGGCATGGGTTGTATGTAAATATTATCAATATTTATGTAAATATTGATTTTTTTATTTAAAAAAGAGCAACTTTTACCCAAAATTAGGCAAAGCAGGCAGGCAGATTGAGTTGCTCACAGAATCACAGATTCAGAGATCTGTCTTTCTGCCATCAGCTATCTGAGTCTGCACTGAATAACAGAACCTTCAGTCCTAAGGGAGGTTTGGCTCTGCTTAAAAGCACAGCCGAAGATCTAAAGATTAGCTAGAAAGCAAGAAATCCAACCATTTCCTGCTTCCTAGCTAATCTAAATCTCCCGGCACAGCAGAACAGATGATGGTCGGGGGGGAAGGAAAAACAGCAACTTAGCGGGCAAGTTTGGCCGGGTAAGGAGTGAGTGGGCGGGGAGGGGAGGGTTCCTGTGGGCCATGTGGGTGGCACAGCCTTGTGTTCCTGTGCAGCCTGGATTAATTGCTTTGATGGGTGCTCTGGGGGTGACATTTCTCTGCGGACCACCAAAATTTTCTCACGGACCACCAGTGGGCCGTGGACCAGCGGTTGGCGACCACTCTTCTAGTCCAAGCCCCTGCTCTTCTGAGAAGCGAAACGTCTTCAAAGAAAAACCAGAAAGTCCAGTTGCCTCCCCCAGTAGCAAAGAAACGGAGCACAGAACTCAGCTCCCTTCCTTTCACCCCTTTCCCAGTCTTCAAAACTCACCCCACGCCCCCTCCAAAAGGGCTCCCCTGGCAGCTTTGCACCTTCCCTCCTCTCTCCCTGAAGGTCCCCCGCTGCCTGTCCCCCTTCAAGGCCTCCTCTGTTCTCTCCTGCAGGAGTAAAGGCAACGAACGTGGCCTTAGGAAAGCCAGCCTACCAGTCCTCCATCCACCCCCATGAGCTCCATGGGTCACCAGGCAGAGCCGTGGATGGGGACTGCAATGGGAACTGGAGCCACGGCTCCTGCATCCGCACCAAGCATGAAGCACAACCATGGTGGTATGTAGACCTGGGACACTCCTATAACATCTCCACGGTGGTGGTGAAAAACGTCGAGGAGTGCTGTGGAGAAAACATCTATCACCTTGAGGTCCACGTGGGAGACGCTCTGGAAAACCACGGGAGATCCAATGCTCTGTAAGTTGCGCTGAGCCAGCTGTCACCAGGTGTTTGGGGGCTCCGGGTGGTTAAAGGTAAAAGGTAAAGGTTCCCCTGGCACCTATGTGCTAGTCGTTTCCAGCTCTAGGGGGCGCTGCTCATCTCCGTTACAAAGCCAAAGAGCCAGCGCTGTCTGAAGACGTCTCCGTGGTCATGTGGCCGGCATGACTAAACGCCAAAGGTGCATGGAACACTGTTACCCTCCCACCAAAGGGGTCCCTATTTTCCTACTTGCATTTTTACATGCTTTCAAACTGCTAGGTTGGCAGAAGCTGGGACAAGTAACGGGAGCTCATTCTAATTCAGAGTACTAGGGATTCGAACCGCCGAACTGCCGGCTGTCAGGATTCCAGCAATCACTCTAATTAAATCATGAGTCTCGAGCCCAACTTAAAAAACTTCAAAGGATTCATTAGAGGCGACATACTGGCCCTGCTCTGTATGAAGCCAACTCTGGCATAGGTCATTTACAGCCCCCTGGGACCCTGTTTCCCCCCCCCTCCCCTCCCAGGTGTGTCATAAATCAGATTCTCCAACTGAGCCCATTCACAGGCTGGGTGTCATCAATCACGTTCTCCAATTAAATATATTCACGGGCAAAAGCTCTGGTAGTTTAATTACAGTCTTTTAAAGATAAAGAGTTGGAATGTACTTTTGCTTTGCTGCATTGCTCTTCCAGATTTCCTTCCTCCCCTTCCCCCTTTTTTTATGGCAACTACTCAAACAGGCCCAGGAATGTTTGATGAGTTGGCATCGACCTTTCTGCTTGACAAGCTCAGCGTCTTAGCCACTGAGTCACCATGTCTGGGTGTTTGGGGTCACCCAATGTTTGTGGATTGCCACACATAGAATCCACAGCTAGTGTGGATGCTTTTGGGGTGCTGTTGAATATGAGGTGCCAACTTTGGCTTAGGACCAAGAGGCCACGGTTCCATTGTATGGAGATTGTGAGTTCACCTCCCTCCTTGCTCCCCCAAGAGACAGGGAAAGGCCTGACTTTGGGCTGATGCCAGCTGTTCACCTGACTCAATTGTGGTCTCAATTAGTTTGGGGTCTGTGTGAATCCCACCTGATAGGGATTTCTGTTAGCTAATGTTAGCTAACATTAGCTAATGTTAACTGTTAGTTAATTTCTGCCAGCATGTATGTTGCAAATCTAGAACATGGGTTCCTTCAGAACTGAGGTTGAACACCTGATATCAGGCCACCTGGCTGTGGTAGAAAAGGTGTTTTTTTTCTCTGCTTTGGATTTGGTGCATGGCGTTTCGGTCACTATTTATTTATCTATTACATTTATATTGCCACCTATTCGCCCATGGTGACGATACCATGGAAAGAATGACCCAAGGTGGAAAAGATGCTTCCATATTATTTTGGGCCAGACCTAGGACTAATAAATCATGAGGGGGAAATAGCAAATAAAGATGGACTCAATCATTGCACTTCACTTAGAGAAACTGCTGCACAATTAGACATTTTCCTTGATAAAGCAATGACAGTATTTTTTAAAAAACCTTACCCCTATAGTTTTCCTCTCATGCCATCCCTCTGCCAAACACCTAATGACCACAATACGGTGTTACGTCTAAGGATATTTACCCACGTGGTATGGCTGTATTACTATTATCTTCCTCATCTGTTCCACAACCTTCTATTGGTATCATTATTATGATTATCCTTTGTTATTATGCTTATTATTCCTTTGTTTGTATGTACATTGACAGCTTCTGCACCGGAGACAAATTCCTAGTGTATCTAATCATACTTGGCCAAATAAAGCATATTCTATTGCTATTCTAATTCTATTCTAATTCTATTCTTATTCCTATATTGTATTGTATTGTATTGTATTGTATTGTATTGTATTGTATTGTATT